TGTTATGCCTGTTACACAGCAAGACCAGTGCAAGGGGGGGATGACCAAACGGCGAGCTCTAGCCAGGCTGATGGTGAGAAGACCACTGAAGCTGCTCTGAGGAGGAGTTATTTGTTTACAGTAGCCCACACAACACCGCACTATGACAAATTGGAAAGACTGGGGGTTGATGGTACTTAAAAGTTAGAAAGAGAGTTGGAGTCCTTGTGTGCCCATGAAATTTCACACCTCACACCACTTCTGGTTGCTCAGATTTTACAGAAGATAGGAATGACGTAAGGCAGAGAAAGATTTTCATGCCATTGAGAACCAACCTGAATCCAGCGCTGCAGCAGATACTTAGCTAACCATGGTATGGACAGACCTATAAATTCAGTTGTATTTCCCATAGATAAAAAGTTCCAGTAAACTAGTTGTAGGTTTCTGTGGATAATTAAAGAGAATTTAGTATTCAAACTACTGCTCAAAACACTGTTCTGATCAAGCCATACGGCAATGGAAGGCGCAAGGCTGAAATGCAATGTATTTCTTTTAAATTAGATGCTTATACCAGAGCAGAGGTTGTGTACGAGTGGACACGGGAACCAGCAAGGTCAGTGGTTGTGGCTGAAGACGGCTCTCGATTGAACCAGTATGATCTGCTTGGACAAACTGTGGACTCCGGAATTGTGCAGTCCAGTACAGGTCTGTGGAAATTTTTTTTTGGGGGGAAGGGTCATGTTTAACTGCCAAAACATAATTTAGAGCAGGAGAAAAAAAAACCCACAAAGACCAAAGAGTGAGAGAGGAAAATTGCAATATATGAGCTTCAGATTAGGAAAACCTGACTCTCAAAAGGTAAGATATTCTGGGTTTATTTTCCTACTTCAACTGGTGGTTAAAATACCTGAACAACTAAAAAGCTTCCCATAGTGACAGATCTAGCCAGAAAAAACAGTAATTTACATTATAAAGAAGCACTCCTCACATTCTTCTTGGATGATCTGCTTACCATATAAGCTTCAAAAAATTGTATAAGAACACGAATCCTCAGAGATCGTATTCCTGCGAGCAGTGAAGTAAGTTGCTAAGAGCAAGCATAGAGTTTCTCATGGAGGTGTTCAAAGAGTGGAAAAAAAATGCCATCAAATTAAAAACTGTCTGGAACATCCAAACAGGATTCAGGTGTCTTAATGATAACACCAGCTTTAATTCCAGAACTATTCATGAGATACAAAAGTAGAGCCAGCATTTATATTATATACCCGTACCCGTGAAGCTGATGAAAAACTATTGCTTTTTCACTTTGCAGTGATTGTTTCAAGATGTAAATTTTTTTAATACTTTGGAAGGGATGCGAAGACCCAGATAGAGTAAGAAACTGCGCATTGGGCATGAACAAAAGCTCAAAGCGTTGACTAGATTGAGTGTTCAATGGACCCGAAGCAGCACTGCATTAGGACAAGTAGCTGTATTGCTTGGGATGCGCCCGACGTAGTGCCTGAACTAGAGAAGTACATTTCCATCTGCATAAACCAAACTTTCTAATTCGTCATTCGTAAAGTCAATGAGCGTTTAAGGAAAAGTGAGTCAATTTAAGGTGAACCCTAATTTGTGTCTGAATTTTTTTATTTAGCTTGCCGAAATATATTCATATGCTCTATTAAGCCAACAAAATCTCTCACGGGCAAAGGTTTCTATTGGACCAATATTCAGGTTACTGCTTAGAAGCTTCTGCTCAGTTGATGTAATCACGAAAGAAGTAAGTGGGATGGTAGTAATAAGGACTTTGCATAAGAACAACATCAACCCAACTGCTCCCATAGTTTCACTGCCCCCATTATTGAGCTCCGGGGCAAGCATCGGACAAGCAAGAAAAGGGGAGAACTCTTGGCCTGGCCACAGCTAGAAATGTTGCCATTGACTTTTGTGGAGCCGGTATTTCACCCGAGCTGCCCTTTGCTGAAAAGGCAAGAGCGTTTGTGAGGAACTGCAAGGATCTTGAGCTCTTTGCTCTCTCTGTTCTGAAGCTACTCGCCCAGAGAGACCTCGGCAACCTGCGTGCCTGCCCTTTTGCACCCACCGCCAGCTCTCTGCCCGCTGTACGCATTACGAGGGCAGCAGGGTAAGCAGAAGAGACTCGTGCTTGGGAACATATCTAAACCAAGTAGATAATACTACATATAGATCGTGGTAATGAGAAAGCAATGTGAGAAACACCCTACCAATTGTTAAGAAAGGCAGGTAATAAATTTTCAAACAGAACTGAAGGCAAACATAAGAAGTGTAAAAATTCTTCGTACATTTCCATGAAGAAACGAAAGAAAATTGGTTTGCCCATGATATTTCATAGGTTTGATTTCTGCCTCCTTTTTCTACCCGAAGAAAGTCTTTACCATGCCTATCTGTAACGTTAAACACAGTATAATGAAGATTTACCGAAATAAAGATGCTATTGTCTAGGTGCAGAAAAACATTACAAAGAACTAAATACAATGGTTATCAAAAGTAAAAAAAAGCCCATTAAAGAATCTTTTGACTACCAAACTTGCAATCCCTTTTAGTCACCATTTGATAAGAATATACAGTAGTGGAAGAAGCGCATCTATTGCTTGCAGATTCAGCGTCTCAAGGAAAAATTCTTCTTGATTAGCTTTGGAAAGAAAAACGCTTTGCCTTCCCCAGAATGATGGTGGAGATGAGAGGTGGTTAATAATCACTTCTCTCCCCGCTCCGGGAGGGAGGCAGCTAGTCTCAACAGAACCCTCCAGCGCGTCTTTGTCCCCCGATCATCTCTGGTCCAAGATATGACATATGTAACGAAAATGGCAAAATCCCTCCCTGCTTTCAGAGTTGTGGGTGATGACTCATCTGATAAAAAGACAAAAGGAATTGAGGACAAATCTTCAGAGTTCTCAGCGCCTTTATTAGGCAAGAAAATGAAGCTCTCGTGCGGCTGATTCGGTGCATCATTAGAGGAATTTAGATCACCTTGGGCGATTTAAAGCTGATACTTATAGTTGTCTGGAATTCCAGACATGCATTTTCCAAGAATTTGGGTGTAACTAGGTTACTCTAAACAGTCTCAAAACTATTAAATGACTTGGAGAATCGACAGAGTACTTTCCCCTCCCACTTTAATTTCTTCCATTGCTAGTAGGCCATCTGCTATTCTTATTTCTGGATCTAGAACAAAATAACTACAAATACTGGTTTTTGTATGACGAGAATCTTGAAGGACTAAAACTTTTTTATAGCATAGTTATTCATCTGTACTGGCAATAGAGCGCACAGGTACTACAGGCTTAAAAATAGTATTCAGTAAACAAAACAATAATTATTGTTGCTGCTGTTGTGCTTAAGCAGAGTCATCCATTTTTCACTTGTATGCAAAATCCCTGTCACTCTCCAGCTCCTGGCTCATATTAACTCAGAGTTTAAAATGATCATTTTTCTAGGCACCTGAACAGATGCTTGAAGGAATCCTGCAAGCTTCTATTTACATAGAATTCTTTTGCCACCTTGAAAACGTTGCTTTGCACTGAGAATCCTCAGGGTTTATACTTGCAGTGGTATATTTTTTCTGATGTTCTGTCAATCTGCTGAGAGGATGCTGTGCTTAAGAGTTTTTCTACTGGGCCACAAGGCATAAGCAGTAAATGAGAAATACTTTGGTTTAAATTAATGGCAAAAAAAGACTTAGTTCCTATCTACAGTGATAGAAAAAGTATTATTGTAGCTAAAACTCAGTCCCCTCCTCAAACCTTATGTCTGATGTGAGGCACATTAATTTTAGGTGCTTACCTGATAAACTGTGTTTATTACAAATAGTTTACAGAACACTGGGTAGTAGATTTGCTGTAGCTTTACTGAACTATCAACTGTTTTCTTCTGAGGACGCAGGTTAGTTCACACCGCCTGAGCATTTGACTCGGGGATTGTGATATACTGTAGAATTCAGGGCTGGCTGAAAGCTGCGGCTACAAAAGCGTGAAGCACAGGCACAAACCCTGCAGAGCGCTGGAAGCGTGCGAATGCGGACCAGCGTTCGAAACATGAAGTGAATACAGGTGAAGGAGTCGTGTGACCGCTTTTAAACGCTTCGGATTGTGCAATGCAGACAAACTAATTTAAACTTTGGGGAATAAATAAAATGAAAAACAAGTTTATCTGCTCAACACAGTTATCTGTAGAAGGCTTTAGGAATTCCAAGGAAGCTAAAAAGAAATACCTTTCTTTCTAATTTCTTTGGAGAAGAGAGAAGAGAATGTAAGATGCATAAGCTACAACTTGTGCAAGGCTGGTAATCAGACACTATGAATACAGGAAATACTTTGCTCAAGAGCTATTTGAAATTTTAGCTGGTAGGGAATTTTGCAGCTTAATTACAAACCTTTGAAAACAGAGTTGCAGAGGAATTGCTGGGGAGTTAGGCAGTGGCCAGCAGCTGTCATGAATGTGGGTATGCTTCTCAATTAAAGCCATCAAATGGGAGAAGCGAAAGATTCAGTAAATAAATGGAGTACTGTCATGTCCTGCGGTTACTTAAATAAATCTCATCAAAGGTCTGCTACCTTCTAATAAGTTACTGCAGTCCACGAAGCGAAAGATTCAGTAAATAAATGGAGTGCTGTCGTGTCCTGCGGTTATTTAAGTAAATCTCATCAAAGATCTGCTACCTTCTAATAGGTTACTGCAGTCCAGTGGTTCTTTGGAGACTTAAAACCATGCTTTTGCCTTGTAACTGAACTGTAGGCGTTATTCTAGGCCTATGCATTGCCTGATTCATTCCTCACGGCGCTACCTTTAGCTGACTGCTAGCTCAGACCTGCTGCAGTGCTCAGCAGATGAGAGTAATCCCTGTCTTTTTAATTGCTTTTATGCTTTTGAATCTTGTTCTCATTTTCCAGAGGTTAAAAATACTTTGATAATTTAAGCAGCTAAATAAAGCTTCAGACTACAGTGGTGTATTCACTCTGTATTCTTAGCTTGCCTTCTACAGTTGCTGAATTAATTCTGACATGCCGTTGTGAGCATTCTGTATCTGATTGCATTAAAATAGCTTCCCACGTCATATTTTAGTAGATAAAATTAAATTATTGGCTCTTCTAGCCAAGGCTGGCACCCTTCATAAGATCATAATCATAAAAGAAGGTTGTTGCAGTGAAAGTTAAAGAAAGGTGAGCAAAATTCAAGCAATAATGCCCACCGTAGCACTTCTGCCAGTCCTGTTTTTGAATGAAATTTTTCCTTGTCTGTCCTTTGCTTTACCTCTCAATCCATAACTGATTCTCTTTTCCCCCTTTGCTACTGTCGTTTGTGTTGAAGCATACCAGGAGTATTGTCACATCTTATTTATAAGCTTTCCTCAGGGTTAGACAATGAACAAGATGGTTCAAATGAATGATCTTCTAGACTCTGAATTAAAGAGAAGGGCATTTGACATGCTCGGTGCAGAAGCAGTCAATGTCTAGACACAGTTTTTCAATCCAGTTTAAGCTTTTCCTGTGCAAGAGCAACTTTCTCTTTCCAACTGCCTACGTTTTAAAATAGAATAACGTAATTTCACCTGTCATCTCTCATCTGGACAGAGGTTGCCATTCAGTTACGTGTCCACCTGTTTCTTTCCGAAGGCAATGTTTGTTGCATAATAAGAAGTATTCATCTACTCCAAAAAAAAGGTCACAACAATAGGTTTTTCAGTCTTTTGAGAATATACTGTTTTGCAAAATCCATTTTCAATTATTTAACCAATGATCTGAAAATGAGGCATTATTTGCTGTGCTCTGGCAGTAAAGGTTTATAAAGTTATATAAATACTTCAGATTCCTTTCAGTTGCAACTAGAATACCCAGCTCCTATGTTTTGCAGCACCCAGAAAGGTAGTTCTAATGAAAATATTCTGTGTTACTCTGGCATTGTCCATCTCCTTCAGGAGAGAATAACCACTCAGCAAGGTACTGAGTGAGCGGAACAGGGGCAGCGAATCTGCAGAGCACATAAAGCACAGACAGTGGTAACGCAGACACCACCACAACAGTAACATCCTAAGCCTGGCCCAACTGAAACACCTCCGAGCACTTGTTGTGATTTAGTCTTTATATGATGTTTACATGCGTATATTGTGGTGGGTTGCCATCTTCTAATGGAATAAAATCTTTCACAAGAGGCCTAAACAGCTGCCCGTTAATGCAGACTTTCATTCACTACTCGCCAGAGATGAAAAGATGTAAATTTAATTAGCATTTCCCAGAACTGCCTAGTTTTGTGTTATTAGCGGAACTTCAGAACCTGCTTTATTAAATGTTTTCTTCAGAGCTGACCCAATTTGATCTGAGGACTTCTTTTTTTACAGTAGGGATGAATATAATGAAAAAATACTTCCTGTAAAGCCCTCTAATTTGTATATTTATAAAAGCCTTGATGTTGCTGTTTTTCTTGGTTTTAGGGGAATACGTTGTTATGACTACGCATTTTCATTTGAAGAGGAAGATCGGTTACTTTGTCATCCAGACTTATCTGCCGTGCATCATGACAGTGATACTGTCCCAGGTGTCCTTCTGGCTTAACAGAGAATCTGTTCCAGCAAGAACTGTATTTGGTAAGCAAGACCTATAAACCACTTGGCAGTCGTAAGCCAAACGGGTTTAAGAAGCTTTCGGGTAAAACTGGTGACAGGTAGCACGATCCTGGAGAACAGCACAAGCCTGGACATAGCGCAGTACGTGGTAGTTAACACGTTTCATGGCGAGGATGTAGCACAAACTGATTTAAGGTCCAAAGCTTTTAAACTGATTGTAAAAAGAGACCTGAAAATATCTTAAGCAATCTATTACAGTCCCACTTTTCCAAAACAAGAAGTATACGAGTAAAACATTTCTGACGATGGCAACGACGTTCATGGTGGGGGTTATCAAAAAGGCTTTAATCAACGGGTGTTGGTCATTTGACCTTCTTAGACCCTTTGAAAATCCTTAAAAATCTGTTTCACCAGTCCCTTTTGCAGGCTGCCGCTAAAGGTGTCCTGGGAAATCAGTGACGATTTATTGTGTGTACAGTGGTGAAAGGATGCACTCAGCGAACGCAGTAAGAAGGCAGTCTGAGGGACTGGAAGTTGATACAGTTGATCCCTGCTGTTTGAGCCACTGCTTGCAAATGCTTCTCTTAAAAATAGAAATGAACAGCCCGCGTATTCTTTGGGGATATTAATCCAAGTCAAGTATATAATTAAAAAAAAAGATAACGAAAACTCCAGTTAAGGCCAACAGAACCTGAGATTGGGATGTTCGGAGGGGACACCCGAACCCCTTTGGCAGAAGCAGGTGGAAGAACGCCCAGCTGAGTTGCCTTTTGCAGGAGTTTCCCTGCCGGGGCAGGACACCATGGGCCCTCGTGCTTTGCCCAAGAGAATTTACCCAGTTACACAGGACGTAGGAAAGCCAGAGCGTCGCAAGGCCTGGCGCTGAGAAACGCAGGCGCTGAAGCTTTTGTTGAACGCGAGCTGGTTTTAGGGCCCTGTGCTGGCACTCCTCGCTGCTGTGCCTTGGTGGCCCAGGGCCACTCGAGGTCCACCACACTTGCATGGCTGCAGACCTCGTGAGCCAAGTAGAGGCTTTCTGCTGACATGCAGATCTGCGTTTACAGAAGACTGGTTTAGAGGACAGTATAATTTAATATGTTTTACATAATATTGTGTAGATTAACATTTAAAATGAGTTCTGAATCTTTATGGACTTCACTGGGAATTAACCTGGGATTTTTATGTGTCTGTGTAGTCAAAACTGTTGAAATTGTGACTATTTTACCTCTTTTTGCATGTGCCCTTTACAAAGAAATGTCGGGTGATCAATTTGAAATGCTAAACTTCATCGTCCTGGCTGGAGCACACAATTTCCTAGTCTCACAGTGAATAGTATATAATGCTGCACGATGTTCGAGCTGCTGTCCCACAGGCTCAAGACCCCACACATCTTTGAAAGTTTTCCTTCTAAAAGACAGTTATTCAGTAAATAGGCTCGTGTTTACTCCATTGTTATGTATCAGGATAGCTTTTTCATTTCTTAGTGGCAGTGAAACAGCGTTTCAGATAGGTTTGCATGAAGGTACATACACACAGAAGCACAACTTACATCTTTCAGCCCATTTAGTACCACAGATGACAAAAAATGGAAATCCTGTTTTGCTACTATGCAAGAGAAACAAACTCACGAGTAAGGAGTCAAAGACAAGATTAGATTGTATCTCAGGGAAGAGGAACTGCCTCCTCATTAGGCGCTAGTAAATCAAGCTCTTTCCACCAGCTCGTCAATACGCCGCTCGTTACCTGGCCTGTGTCAGACCACTGCACGTTTTTGTGAACAGTGCGGCGAGGATGGGCTCGCCGGACGCGTTCAGCGCCCGGCACTGCCGTTGTCAGGGTAACCTGTGGAGCCGTGAGCTGATGCAGATGCCCAGCCTGCGTCTGCAGGGGGTTTCTTTCAGGCCCTGCTTGCTCTCTGCGGCCGGGGAAGGCAGCAGCAGTGAGAAGCTGCGGTATCAGAAATGCAAATTACGCTAGCTTTGTTATTACATAAATTTGCCATTTTCAGGGCATCAGTGAATAAAGGGACAGCAATCTGTAAACCCATCAACTCAAATACATGTACCGTCACCTAAAGCTGAGTGCATTTGGGTATACATTTGAAGGATCAGATACCAAATAAACGGAATGCAAACAGGTTTTATAGTTTTCTATCTAAGTATCTGAGAACTGCTGCAAGACAGAACTCAAAGTGTTAAATTGCTACATCTGTAGGACAATTCGCAGGGCATGAATCAGGAACAGCAACAATGATTCGCCAAACACCAAGACGCGTCAGGTAGTGTCCCGTCCACAACACAAAAGATTATTTGCATTCCAACTTAAAAAATATCATTCCACTACGACAACGTCAAGGAATAAAGGTATAAAAGATGTTCTGGAGATCCTGCAGCTGCCACAGAACTTGAAATCTGATCTCCTCAGTTAGCAACCGAACTGAAGCGGGGAAGTTTCTAAGAATTAGCAGTGAAGACAAGGCTTTCCCCTCTATTTTAATAGCTGGGAGATGAAGCACCAAACAGAGCCCCTGACCTAAAGACGCTAAAAGTGTTTGCTTTGCAGGAGTGACAACTGTCCTGACCATGACTACCCTAAGCATCAGCGCCAGGAATTCTCTGCCCAAGGTGGCCTACGCCACTGCGATGGACTGGTTTATAGCGGTCTGCTACGCCTTCGTCTTCTCCGCGCTCATCGAGTTTGCCACAGTGAATTACTTGAAGAGGGGCTACGCGTGGGACGTCAAGAGCTTCGTTCCGGAAAAGGTAACGCCGCTTTCCTGTCTATCCCGGCAGGTGACACTGCGTCGTGCTTGGTCGCTATATGGGGGAGGGGGGTTTAGCCCATCAGAAAGCCTCATTATTTAGAATAGTAATTATTCCAAAAGAAGTTCCTCATGTGTACGCGCACAGCGTTTCTATACATAAACAATAATTACGTAGACACAGAGCACCTAAATACTACTTCTGACATACTGAATGGTATTTTATGTTATTAATCATTAAAAAAAATTTACTGAGATTTTGACTTGTACAAATGAGCAGAAAGAGGACAAACGTGTTGTTTTTAAGGGAAAGTAATCAATTTTCTAGTGTTCAAGCCAGAGAAAATGCGGATGCCTCAGTATAAAAGTAGAAAAAAAAAATCTAGTGGCTACTATCTGGCAGTTGCCAAAGTGTGTTGCTCCCCAACACGACCGTCAGGAGGACTGCTCTGTGACCACGGCCACCGCAGGACTTTTTCTTTCCTTTCTTTTGCCTCCTGTCACTGCCTATTTTTTTAAAAAAAGAAATATTATTTGTACTTCTCAGTCTATATGAGAAATTGCTTTGCTTTGGGGGGAGAACTGACAGTTGTGTTGGTGGGAGCGTGCAGTCCTGAGCGGTGCCTCCCCAACTCCCTCTGGTCCGGGGCCAGGCTGGGCTGCAGACCACAGCTGCATCGAGAAACCGTCGAGGGCGTTTGGGGGAGAAAATTTCCCATTTCCTATGAGCCATCATGTCAGCTGCTTCTGTGAGGAAGCTCATTTGGTTTGGGGTTTTTTTTTTGCGAGAGATCATGAAAGAGTTTTAACTTGCTTGCCTAATTGGTTATTATAAACATTCACAGACTAGAGATTCAGCAGAATAAATATTTGGAAGAGCAGATGTTACTCGCTGGTACGCGAATATATGCACTAACTTACAATTTATCCTCTAATTATATGTAAATTTTTTTTTTTTTTTTTGCTATTTTAGTTGCATAAGTCAGTGAGAAAGCAGAAATAAAATTAGGAGATTTACACACCAACAACTAATACAACAGTATTGTAGAACAGATGAGTGAAGTAACAAAACAAACTTACAGTAACGAGCTGCACGACTACTGGTGAATGTGGAGTTTCCAGCTGCTGCTGATGCTTTCATCGACAATGATTTGTTTGATTCGGTGTTGAGCTTCTGTCTTCATCATATCTGTTGTAAAAAAATAGGCTGTATTAATAGAACAACCCCCTTAAATGTCAAATATTGCCTTGTTAATATAACATATCCTGTAACATAGTTACTATAATCAGCCATTTCATCTGTTTCAAAGAACATTACATTTTCAGAAAAACACACACCGACACGAACACCGTACTCCAACACAACCCTCAAGAAAGGCTCTTCAGGTGCGGCTCGCTATGGGGCAGCCAAGGTGTCCCAGTGCCTGGCGTAAGGAAAGGCAAGCCAGGCAAACGAGCGGCGAAGAGAGCGTCGCTGCTCCCTTACATAGAATCATAGAAAGTTTTGGGTCGGAAGGGACCTCCAGAGGTCATCTAGTCCAGCCCCCCTGCAGCGATCAGGGACACCGCTAACGAGATCAGGTTGCTCAGAGCCCTGTCCAACCTGGTCTTGAATGTTTCCAGGGATGGGGCCTCCACTACCTCCCTGGGCAACCCGTTCCAGTGTTTCACCACCCTCATTGTAAAGAACATCCAGAGCTCTAATCAGCTGTCGTAAAGTAATATACTTTTTCATAAAGTTGAATTCGACATGAGATGTTCAGACCCTGACTGGTGTCGTGACTTTCTGTGGGTTGGATTCTGATGACGTTTAAGTCCCCGGGGAGGGTCTCCTCTGAGGCCCCGGTGGAGCGGTCCTTGGCCTGCTGGGTTGGCTGCTGCTGGCTGGAG